CGATATTTTTGTCTCAGTTACAAGACTTATGAAAAACCACCATAGGTTTTCCATCTTTCTTTTCTAAGACCAGAAAAAATGAGAATATAGGGTGAAGGGTGTACCACATTATTCTCTTCCAGAACTGGCAGAGAAAGTCAACATAGGAGGTTCTGGGCAGTATAGAAATCAAAGTATTTATGTGTATACCAACAGGCTCTGAACTACCTTACTCCACAGAGAGCTGGAGGCAGGAGTGGAGTCTGTTTGGCTGTTATTTGTTTTTTCAGATATTCAGAAAGATTTTTGGTCTAGTTTGTGACATAAATTTCTAGATGAATTGGAAGATAATGGAATTTCCAGGCTGCACTGCTTCATGCTACAGGGGACAACCTCTAGAGAGAAGAGTCTGCAGTCTTCATGAAACGACTTGTTTTAACAAATTTGTTATTGTTACTTAGTTGCTAAGTTATTTCCAACCCTTTGCCACACCAGGGAGTGCAGACCGCCAGGCTCCTATGTCCATGGGATATCCCAGGCAAGAATACTGGAGCGGGTTGCCATTTCCTACTCCAGGGGATCGTCTCCACCCAGGGATCAAACTCATGTCTCCTGCAACGCAGGTGAATTCTTTACCACCGAAGCCACCAGAGATTCTTATCACTATTGCTATTTCAGAGAAAGACTTTTAAAATCAATGCCTAGAAACAATGTTTAAATTACCTAGCAAGTCCCTAAAATCCCAACAAAAGTGGAGAACATGAAAGCAATGCATTGTCTCTTAACTGAAAAATACTATTGATATTAAAGCTGATTTATCTTATTTTACAAATTCCTCCATTTTTAGGTGAATTATTCATTCACTTATTCATGCAAAATATTTACGAGCTATCCCCATACACAGGCAGAGTTCCAGGTTCTGGGGATATTCAGTAAAGAACAAAGAAGACAAATCCTTTTCTTTGTAGAACTTACATTCTAGTAGGTGACATATCAGAAACAACATGAAGTTTGGAGACGTGAGATAGTGGTCTTCAGGAAGGAATAAAAATAAAGCATAGTCAAGGGTTTGAAATATCAGAAATGGGACAGTTTCATTTTAGACAGAAAGGGGCAGAGAAGGTTCTGTAAGAATACAAAATTCAACTTCTTTTTAATTCAATGGGACATATATAGGCTTATGCTGCTTCTGATTGAAGGGACCCTCAGTCGTCCCACCCTATTCCCATGATGTTGCATAAATCTTTCCACCCGGCAGAGGCTCCTAACTTGCTACTCCAGCCCACACCACTAAGCTAAAAGACAGTTACCCTTCAAGACACATGGAAATATCAGCCATCACCTTCATCCTAAGCAACCTGGGCTCATTGAAAGGGCCCCTCATTAGGCTCCCAGAGTCCTGCGCTCACCTAGTGATGTAGCTGTGCTTTCTTAGTCCATCACTCCAACTACACACACACACAAACACATGTAAGAATACAATCATGACTACAATATGTGCAGGCACCATGCATGCCTTATTCTAGTCGCTCTTATCTACTTGTATTTACCTTATCTGGCTAACCCTTGAGGAGCTTGGTTACTTTCCTAGGGTAAATATCCAGAAAGTGGCAAAGCCAATACTCAAACCTCCACAGAGTCCAGCTCTAAGACTTCGTTTTTTCTCTGCATCCAGCTGCCTACCAATAGAGTGAAAACAGAAATGAAGGATGCGAGGGTGTATGTGAAACTCTGAAGAGCCAGTCACTCCAAAACTGACTCTGCCCGTGAGCTTGAACTCGTCTGCGGAGCCCGAAGCTCCCCCTTGGTGACTTGCAGGAGGGCCTTTGAAAGAGCAGGTATGCTCCTGAGTAACGGCGCTTCTCAGCCAGCTCCCGGGGAGAAGCTCAGCGATGAAGCGGTTCAGAGCCAGACGTGGAAGAGCGCTCACAGAGACAAAACGGTATAAGGCACCGGCGGGCACCCCGATATGGATCACCCCCACACTCAGCCTGCTCACCACCTGCAGCAGTCACCTGCGATGCATTTTTGGGCTCTGCTACAACCTAGGTCCCTCAAAGGCTAAGCCATAACAACTCAGGAGCAATTTTCTTTAAGGGGAAATATACATGACTGGAAATGTTTGCAGGAAAAGGTCCTCAGAAAAGAGGATTAACTCAGTCATTTAGGAACTGGCCGTGTCCAGGATCAGAGCAAGAGGAGTTCATCAAGGATCAGAATCATCTTGGCCATTTCAAAATCCTAGGGTTCGGGACTTCCCTGGCAGTCCAGTGGGTGAGATTTTGTGCCTCCAATGCAGAGGGTGCAGGTTTGATCCCTGGTCAGGGAACTAAGATCCCACATGCTGTGCAACACCGCCAAAAAAAAAAAAAATCCTAGGGTTTACTAGCAGCATTTCTGTCCTTGGAAGAAGCATGAATTTCTCAAGCACTGCTGCTGCTGCTGCTTCTGCTAAGTGGCTTCGGTCGTGTCCAACTCTGTGAGACCCCATAGACGGCAGCCCACCAGGCTCCTCTGTCGCTGGGATTCTCCAGGCAAGAACTGGAGTGGTTGCCATTTCCTTCTCCAATGCATGCATACATGCTAAGTCATCTCAGTCGTGTCCGACTCTGTGCGACCCTATGAACAGCAGCCCACCAGCTTCCTCTGTCCACGGGATTCTCCAGGCAAGAATACTAGAGTGGGTTGCCATTTCCTTCTCCTCTCATGTACTATTACGTCACAAAAGGATAGTAAACACTGCACTGTTTGCCTTTCTCTCGATTGCTACATTTAAACAAGGGAGGTAAAATTAGTCATTAGATCCTGACTCCAAAACAAATCCCAATTTAATTACTTTTTATATTCAGGTAAAAGTGTAAAGTTCTTCTGGGGATAGCAAGTTTGTTTATATCACACAAGACATCAACGTGTGATAGACCTCCATAGAGTTAACTAACAGAAAACAGGCAGAAAATATCCATCAATTATGTATGTGTGCATGTATTGTATATCCAGAATTTCCAACGGCGTGAAAATGCATTGTCAGAGGGCTGGATAAGAAGTCTGAATATCCAGAAAGTAAGAATTTAAGAACTCTTACTTATTCTATACTCAATAATTCTTAAGTGTAAATTATGGTTTAAATACATGGTAACTAGTCACTAAAATGTAATCGGATGCAGTGGATAAAATTACGGCCTTGGGAATCCCCAACTTGATTCAGATTCAAATCATTTACTAGTGCTACGATCTTGGTTTGCTTTATTAATCCAAGTCTCAATTTCTGCACTCACCAAAAAAGAAAGAGAGAGAGAGAGAGAGAGAGAGAGAATGTGGTCAAGAAGCCCCTGTGTAAAACCCACTGGGCCAGATGTTTTGCAAATGAGAACTTTTCACATTTAGAAACGTTTTAAGGTAGATAAACTGTATAATAAGTAAAACCTTCAGCAGAGTCTGGGGCAGTAGCCTCTAATCAAACACATTAACACTTCTGCAGGGAAATATATGAAGTCACAGTAATGGGATGCATTATGACTATAAATAGCCTCCAGTCAGTTCTGCTACCTGAGTGTGCGTCAGGCATACAAAAAAATCGTTTTTGTATTTTTGACAAATAAAGGAGCGTAGATGTATTTTATTCATATAGTGTTTGTATATGTGTATATACGCACACATAAACACCTATATGTATACATGGTGGGGAGGGAGCTACTGTTAGAATCAATCAGGACTGTGCCCACAGAGTGCTTTTATAATAGCGCTCAGTACAAAACAATATTGACCAGAATGCGAATTCCTTGAAGGCAGGAGTCATGGGTTTGCTCATCAACAGGCCCCTATACACCTAAAAATGTGTTTGACTCAATAATACATGTTCTCCAAATGATTCCTGACACCACCTCCTCCAGATTTCCCTTGCCCAAGTGAAACTACATGAAATGAAAAAGCATAATCCTTGGGAGGCTCAATCTGCTTTGCAAGACAATGAGGTGGAAGCATAAATGGGATCAGAAGTTTCCAGTGAGACACCAAGTCTTGAAGCTCAATATTTAATTCTTTTTTTTTTTTTTTAAATCACTGCATTTGGGAAACACATAGTACTGGCATGATTCACTTCTGAATCTGACTTATCAGGAAAATCAGTACTTGGCAGGCTCATAATTGGAATTCTACTTACGATGATGGTATGTGCCCAAATTAACAGAAGTTTATGAATAATTCTGAGGAAAAAACATGTATAGTCTTCAACAACCCACAGTGAGACTGTGTAAATCAGGGAGTGCCTATCATCAGAACAAGGAACACCTGTCTAACTTGCTAACAGCAAAACAAATGTAAACCCAGTCTAACACATACGTGCACAGACACATGCACAAACACACACACATCACCAAACCAAAACTTTGATTCTATCCATTTGATTCCACTTGACAATGAATAAATCAGTATCCTATTGCAAAGTCACTGAATGACCGTAAGTACAAGGCACGGCTAAGCACCCACTCCAAGAATCTACCTTTCTCCATCCTAGGTTAATAACTGAAACAACAGATGAATAACAACAAAAAAGGAGAAAAATCTACCTGCAATTGGAGATACACGGCCTCAGAATAAAATGGGACAAAATAACATCTTAGGAATCCAGGTGGTAGCAATTCAAACTGAGCAAAAATGCATACATCTTCCAAGTCCTGTAAGCTACAGAAGAGGTTCGGCATACAGACTTTTTATATGAAGTGAGGATGAGAATGCTTATTTGTGTATGCATTACACAAGTGTTATTATAGCTATGATATAATAGATGGGGAGGGTGGGTGAGGTGGGGAGGATGAGCTTTCCGGAGAAAAGCAGTTTGTCTGCATTTAAATCTGTTACTGCAGGATTATTCATATTCCTAAAGAAACCAAGAGGTAAATGAACTAACCATCTGGCCAAAAGTACTTACAGCTAAGTGCGGCAACAACTGTGACAAGCCTAATGTTAAAGATCTAGAGACCAGTAACGGACCCCAAAATTGGGATCTTAAAAACGAAGCTTACCCGGCCAACAAGGATCGGTTCAGGTCCAGAAAACTCTTCCAAGACAAACATTTGATTCCAAACCCAGCCTCTTTTGGAACGATTCAAAATCCGCTGTTCTTCACTCAGCCTGTTTAGTTCCAATGGGGATCCACTCATTAGAACCGGAGACTGATTCATCGGAGCCGAGTAAATACAAGGGGGAAGAGTAATCCATAATATTATTAATGGAGTCCAGAGATCCAAGAGCATTTCCGCTAGCCGTTCTGGCATGGTCCCACCAGTTAAGCAAATCACCACGAAAATGAGACAATTACTTTTTTTGCCTCCGGTCTGCAGCCATCCAATTCATCATGCGGTGCCGAGCATTTACTTACAGCCCTGCCACCTGTTTACAGCACAGGAAACAGACATCATCTACGCAGTTTTTCTAAGACCACGATCCATGGGCTGTCCTCATTGAAATTTCCTGCAAAAACAAGGAGGGAGAAATATAGTGATCCACCACCAACAGGTTTTAAAACAAACTCACTGCTTTTCAAAAGCACATGAATGAACATTTCCCACAGCCTTGAATTAAGAAAGTGGATCCAAATAGATTGAGAATAAGTAGGCTCACAGGTCTTTTTATACTGTAAGCTTTCAGATATTCATATTAATTCTTGCTGGCTTCCCAGGTGGTGCAGTGGTGAAGAATCTGCCTGCCAATGCAGGAGACACAAGAGACATGGGTTAGATCTCTGGCGGGGTTGGGGGGGACGGTGGTTGGGAAATCCCCTGGGGGGAGGAAATGGCAACCCACTCCTGTATCCTTACCTGGTAAATACCATGCACAGAGGAGCCTGGAGGCTACAGTCCATTGGATAGCAAAGACACAACTGACCACACATGCATGTGAGCCTGTGATAGACAGGACTTAGCAACTGAGCACAGCAACACAATGTTAATCTCTGCTATCTGCTGCCTATCAAAAACTGCTTCAAGTCCCTGAAATTTGCATCTCCCTCCTGGTTTTTCTTCCNGCGCATAGAGGCAGAACCATGAGATGGTTGTAGTTTCCTCTAGCTCCAGCCAGCCTGGGGTTTGAATTCCAGCCAGAGAGCCAACTTCACCAGTTGTATAACTGGGGAATCAATTAAAAATAAACAAATTAAAAAACTAGAATGCTAGTCTACCTAGCTGGTTTATTTTGAGGATTCAAAGCAATAATTTTGGTAAAGTGATTAAGAATGCACAGCTATTTTTAAATTGTGCCAAATACTCTGCAAGTATTCTCTGGCATCTGCTCTGTTGTTAATGATTCTGGGATTAAAGCAGTGTAATCCCAATTTAAAGTCCTAATAGACACTTCCTTGATGGAAGCCACCAAGCAGGTGGATTGCCGCCAAGCCACTCAGGATGGGATGGGACACAAGTGCTGCCCTCCCTGAACTCATCAGAATCAGGTAAAAAGTAGTAACAGGCCCTGAAACTGTTTTATACAATGGCAGAGCTTCACTAGTTAGAATAAAGGGATTAATCAATAAAGAACATATGCATAGCCCCATATAGTATCTGTTAATACAAGATCTTACAGTTAGAGAAAACTTACTGTGCCTTGTAAATTTTGTTACAAGGCACAGTACTTACAAGCCACAGTAAGTTTTATTCAAAGCTGAGGTGCAGAGTAATGATATGACTTGCCCAAAGAACACCTCCAGTAAAGAGAAAACAGCTGCTTGAACCTAGGTAATCTAACTTTAGAATTCTTTCTTACCACATCCCTTCTCCTGTTATCTAAATATTTGATGAGCTTATACTGTAGGTCAGGCATGAAGGCAAGGGAAGCAAACATCTCAGAATTCTTATCTTCAGGAAGCCAAGAGCCAAGGTAAAGACTAAGAAATGAATACTTAGAATATCCTATTAAGTCTGAGAAAGGTTAGGGTAGTACAGAGTGATGGGTATGCCACTCATCTTCACTGCCTTAAAGAAGGCTTCCTGGAGGAAGCATCATCTAAACATCAAAAAGGAATAACCCAAAGAGGGGAGGGTAAGTATAAAGGGTCATTTAAGTCAATCAATGAACAAGAACAAAACCATTCGCTAATACAGGATTTGTGAATGAATTAGTACCTAGGGTAGTTTTCAAATCATTTGTTGTCATATTATCTAATCCATGGCCATAGTATCTTCTGGCTACCCACCAAGTCATTTTAATTATGGTCTGTCTCTAGACTACATGTCAAATTGACATCCTCTTCTCTGCCAAATTGTGAGGGGAAGACCATGTTCAATTTCGAAAGCTCTAAGGCATAAAAATAAGTGCCATTCCACCATGATGGTGTGCTCAGCCATGTCCAACTCTTGTGACCTTATGGACTGTAGCCCACTGGCCTCCTCTGTCCATAGGATGTTCCAGGGGAGAATACTGGAGTGGGTTGTCATTTCCTCCTCCAAGGAATCTTCCCAACCCAGGGATCCAACCTGCATCTCCTGAGTCTCTTGCACTGGCAGGCAGGTTCTTTACCTCTGAGCCACCTGGTGAGAGTATGGGATACAGCAAGCAGAAGCACAGTGAGATGAGTATTTTAAATAATGTTTCATTCTCATTTAACTAGATACTGTCAAAGCCTGAGGTTGTGTCCCTCTTTGTTGAAAAGGAAGACAAGCAACAGTCAGAAGCAAAGATGTGCAGTTAATATTTAGCAAGTGGCTATCTGAAAGAAAAAAAAAATCCCTGATTTTTTAATTTCCATAATATTAATACTTACACTGTGATCAATTTCAAGTTTTCAATATGATCACTAAGCAAGTTTGGCAATTGGTGAAAGTTTCTAAACCAGAAACAGCTCTGGTTTAGCCAAGAAAGAGCTGCCTCCAGCATACCCTTAGGTGATGCTTCTCAAACTTTAGTATGCATACAAATCCTGGAAATCTTTCTAAAATGCAGATTCTGATCCAGTAAGTCTAGAGTGGGGCTTGCAACTCTGCATTTGTAATAAGCTCTCTTGTGAAGCAGATGATGTAGCTGGAGAAGCCTAGAGATCGCAGGAATAAAACTACCCAACTCAGACCTCCTTCTTATGAAGACTTGAAAGATTCAGTGGTGTGGTAAGAAAGTTACTTCCTCCTCAGTGTCATTAAATGGCATGCCCATAAACTACTTACTACCTGGGAATAGACATATATCAGACTTTGGGAAAACCAGCAATGCAGTGTATGAATAAATGCGATTTTGTATGATGTCATAACTTTTATACTTAACCACTCCATATGGGACACTGGAAAAACTGCTCCAATAAGCAGTGTGTTTCCACGCATGCTATCAAGGGGTGTTGAGACTTGACCTTCACTTCAGCAAAGTCTATTACTAGGAGAGAAATGAGATTCTCCTGTGATAATCAGAACTGTACTATTTATATGCGGGGCTCTGCCACAGGCAGAGCTAATGTTGTCCTCTTAGATGATCAGAGAACAGCTTTATAGGAATTCTTGAGATGCAATCAAATGTCATGTCACTGTTATCAGAATTAATAAACATTGTAATAGTAGCTGCATACACAAACAGCTTAACTCTACACAAGGAAGAAGAAGTTGAGTGAGGTTGTAAAGCTTGGGTTAAAAAAAAAAAAATCAATATATTTTTAGATTTTCTAACCACAGTACGTATGTCTGGCCAAGCAATTCACTTTATTATAATGCTGCTGCATTGATTTACACCCCAAGAGTGAGATGAAGAGATTTTTACAGTCCCTCTGGAATTCTTACAAAGAAGTAACTCTAGAAGTCCCCCATAAGAAGACGTTTTGTCTTAGGTAAGATACTTACAATCCTGCTTTTCATTCACACTTACATTTTAGAGATAGCTTTAATTACAGCCTAGTCTGACCCCACTGACTTCAACTTTTTTTTTTTTCTGAGGTTAAAAAAAAAACTTTCAGATAAGTCATTATGCAAAAATATTATTGCACCATTGACTTGGTAAACAACATAGATTGCAGATCCCAACGATGGGCCACACTCTGAAGCCTAAAATAAAAATGGGCTTTTACCGACACTTCAGAATTCAATTCTGCAGATTATTGTGGTTGACAGGAAATTATGCTTTTATTATCCACTGGGCTTAGTGGCCACAATATTTCATGGAAGCAAAAATGACACACAAGACCAGAGAGTTTCTATTAAAAATGTTTCTGACCTTGAATTTAGAGACATTAGCAGGCTGCTTCAAAACAGGTAAATGCACATTGAATTCAAAGTGGTATTTCAGCAACACAGGGTACGCGATTCAGCCTGTGGCCCAGTGCAATTCATGCCAAGCCCTGGAGAACCAGAGACAAACAATACTTATGTGTGTCCAAATATAAATAATGCAGGAGAATCACCTTTCCTAAAGCCTTCAGAATTCCCTGACCAAATTCCCTCTGCAGAACAGAATTTAATTTTTTTTTCATTTACACACACACAGAGGATTATCTCTCCCCTCAACCACAACACTTCTGGACATCTTCCTTTGGCATCAAATCATACATTTATCCAACTGTCTCTTTATCCAAAAGCACATTATTTGCTTGTTTTACCACCCAGAATAATAGCTGTCAAATCTACTCTACTTCTTGCTATTATTGACACGCTATTGTTTTTTTCTACCAGAAGCTTTAGTTTTCTCTAAGTTTGATAATTACTGGTTACCATGGCAAAGACAGATACCTCCTCATCCTCTCCCAACATGGAGTCAGAACTCTGTCCTTCACACAGAAGCTTTCCTGCTATAGACATCTCAGTACTGGGGTAACAAAGACAGCAGGGTCAAGTTTCTTCTAGTGTTTACAGGCTCAGACATGTATTTAATGAACTTTCTTAGAATTATAAGGTTAGTTAAGATACTGAAGCTGAATCTACCCTGTCGGATCTTCTTCAGGCAGAACTGTCTTGAAACCACCTCAGGACAATGAATCTAAGCCCCGCACTTTCCTTGCCTCTAACAGTCACGCCAGGAAGTCATTTTTTAGTGTAATCTAAATCCTTCCTTCTCCATTTAGAAGCCACATCCTTTGCTGTCTTTAAATCACCTGCTCAAAGTTTAACAACCAAAGACCTAATGAGGGAAAACAATTTGTGCTGGCCCTCCACTGGGGGAGGTGGTGGAGGAGCTGTGATCCCAGGTTCATCCAGGAGCTGGACCCCGGCAATCAAAGGCTCCTTACCCTTCCCTGTCCTTGGAATGCACGTCCCCCCACTGTGTCTGCACTAGCAGCCACTTCAAAGATGCAGCCTTGAGAGAGTTATGTGTTATTGAGATCATCTGGATAGTACACGAGACTGGACCCCACGAACATCTCCATGTAACTCAACTTTAAGATCCCAGCAAGCAGATGCAGAGATCTTGTGGTTGCCCAAGTCAAGCCTCATATGTAAGGTCCATTCCCTTGTTTATTAAAACTGCCACCTACCAATCTGGAGTGGCTTGCCTCTTTTCTTCCTTCT